GTACACTGTGGAGGTGTGTACACTGTGGAGATGAGTACACTGTGGAGATGAGTACACTGTGGAGGCGTGTACACTGTGTGCCTATTTAATTTCTATTCTCTATCTAGCACTTTGGTCATTAGTGGGAGTGAAAAAAGCTGACTTTATCCATAGGCAGCAGATTTTGCATAACTGTTTCACAGACTTACACTCTATGCAGATGACTTTGCTCTTTTGTCTGGGTGGGGTCCTTCCTGGAACATTTCACATTATGTTCACAATTATATAGTTGAAAGTTGCTAAGAGAGTAAACCATACAGGTTCTCATTACAAGAAAACAACTGGGATGGTTTGATGAAAGAGATTGTCCAGAATTACTGTGGTGATCATTTTATCATTTTGTAATAATTCCAGACCCAATTCTAATACATCAAGCAATTCTCAGACAGCAGCAGAGTGTCAGAAAATTCAGCTCAATTCTGACATTATTTACCTGGAGCTCGCATAAGATTCCACAGAGGAAGAGCTCAGGCTCCTGAGACTGCACTCCACTTCTAATAGCAAGGTTAACTGTGCTCCCAACTGACTGTAAATCAGAGTTTCCCAGGACCCCCTGGGTTTAATTAATTTGCTAAGATGGTAACAGAAGTTACTTTAGAAACCTGTTTACTCACTAGATCACAGATTTAGTGCAAAAGGCACTCAGAACAGCCAGATGAGAAAGATGTATAGTACAAGGTATGTGGAAAAGCCTGGTGCTCCCTCTTGTCATGCCATTTTCCCATTTTGGTCATCTCACCATATACATATTTCATCTTCCTAGTCCCCAAGACCTTGGCATTTCCTAAGGGCTGAGGGTATTAAATGTGTCTTGTTCACACCTAAATCTCGACATGTTCACCAACCAGAAGCTCTCTGAAGCCCTCTCCTCTTGGGATTCGTGAATGCTTTACTACTTAGATAATTAGCTTATTGCCCATACAGTTGAATTCAACCTTCGATCCCTTGCCCCTCACTGGAAATCAGGAAGCAGGGCTAAAATCCTACCCTCTGTGCATGTTTTTTCCCCAGGTAACCCAGTCCCCCATTTTATTTATTTATTTATTTTTTACATAAGATGGTTTTATATTTCCTTTCATACATTTCTTTGGGGATCCAAAAAATGCAAATTTTTTTTTGTTTTTAAACTAGAGACTTCCTTTTAATATAAGTCAACAAACCATCCCATACATTGGTTCCCCCTGGGGCACTTCTTTGGAAGTCTAGTTCTGATTATATATATATATATATATATATATAATAGTTTATTTTTACATCATTTTGTGCATTTTCCATCTCATTTGCAATCCC